AAAGTCCAGAGAGTTAGATCTCTGGGCAGTGCTCAGTGTATAGGATCAGAATTGAATCTGTGGATGAGTTCAAGTATCTGCTATCAAACTTACAGCTCATTCATGTCTAGAAAAAAGGCTGAGGCTGAATTTAGGAAACTGTCTGGTCCAGGACTACAACCAAGTCACTACCTCAATCTGAGGCCAAAATTGGGACTTAGCATGGGACCAAGGTCTGGATTCAGGTATCAACATAAAGTGGGTGTCCAGGTAAGATACTAAGAGTCTGGCCACAGGAAGGAATCAGTCTGCACCCAGGATAATGGATCAGTGTAGCATTTCCACTCCCTGGTGAAACCATCAGCCACTGAAGAACACAAGCAGGGATAGTGCCCAGGAGCGAGGTATGAGGGACAAAAAGATGGAGTCACTACTTTCTGAGGACCTCATGACTTTAAAGATGGTAATGGACAGGCCAGGGTACCCTTTATCCCCACAAAGTGGATCCCAGTATTTTGATTCCAGCTTCTCATTAAAGCCCCCTACCCTCAACCCTAGTACTGTCATATACGAATCACAATTTGGGGACAAGAGTGGCCCAAGGGCCAGTTCTATGGCTATAGAGAGCTAGCATCTGTGGGGGTAGTCTTCTTTCCCACCAGGATTCTCTGTTTCTACTGGAAACAGGGCCTGGCAGCCTCCCACACCCAGATCTTAGCAACTGTGGGAGCCCCTGGCAACTGCTGCCATGGTGACAAGACAGGGACCTGAGATGAGGCTGGAGGGTGCACTTCCTCTGGAGCTTTCAGGATGTGCAAGATAGGGTGCCGCTCCCCATACACAGTCTGGGAGAGAACATGTGCTCCTGTCTGAACACCTCCTCACTGGCACCCACCCCCACCTTTGCCCACAGGTTCCGGTTCCCTCAGGGTGAGGAAATGAGGGACACCTCGGGTTATGACGTCTCCATGGGAAGGAGGGTGAGCGGGGGTGTTGGGAACTGACATGATCACAGATGCAGGCAGACACAGTAGCAGAGTATCCATAGCCACACACTTCATCCACTCTGTCATAGAGCTGCATGCCTTCACAGTCATTTAAGCACACAGATATGGTGACACACAAGATCACACATATACAACAAATAACACTGACATAGGCACACACAAAAAATGTCCAAGATACACTTTCACTCACAGATCGCATACAGATAAAATAGTATACAAACAACTCACAGTCACGTTCACACACCCAGACAGCTGTGAGCTTACCCAGTAATAGTTAACATTTGTAGGACATTAACTACATACCAAGCTCAGAACTGAGTACATGGGTTCCCTTAATTAACCCTCACAACAACTCCGAGATAGACACAGCTGCTGTCTATTCCCATGTTACTAAGAAGGCAATGAGGCATAGATGTGGCAACTAACCTTGCAAGGTCAACTGTCTAACTCCAGGGCCCACATTCTTACCCTCCCTGGCGCACTGTACACCCTAGGTCCTCACACATACCCTGATCCCCAGGACAATAGGACACGGGACAGCAATGATGAACCAGCCAAACAACAGAGCCCATGTCACCAACACCTGCCTCCACAGACCTGCCTATTCCCTCAAAGGGCCAAGCCTACACTTTAGCATCCGTAGGGGCCAGGTGACTAAACCCTCTGCCTCCCTGTTGGCATAGGCGGGGCTGGAGGAGTCAAAAGAGACAGAACTGGAATAGGAAGAAGTGGAGCCACCCACAGCCCAGGCCTCCACAAGTCTGGAGGTGGGCAAGTGAGAACCCCCCGATTTGAGGGCCAGCAACACTCAGGATCCCTGAGTGTGTCCTTTGGATCCTACCTTGTCCATCTCCATTTGATACTATTTCATTCCCTCATCACTCCCTCTCCCTTCCTCACTCCATCTCTCCAGCCCCTCTTCTTCCTGCTAACCCATCTCCCCTCCCTTCTATTCTGTCTCCCACCCCACCTTCCTTTCACCCTTCCTTTCTTCACACCTCACACTCCTTATATACCTGGGGTAAAAGAAGGCAGGTAGGGAAGAATATGCAGACCTGACCCCAGGAGGCTTAGACCCCTCCCCTACTCTGCCCTGTTACCAGGCGCAGATGCTCTTCAACCCTGTGTCCAACCCTATGCAGTTTACATGACCTCATGGGTCACTCCACAGCACTGAGCAATAACAATGGGTGTCTGAACTCTGTCTTTGGGGTGTAGCAGAAGACAGTGAGAGCTCCTGCTCTGGCCCTTCCTTTATCTTTGAGCCCCCAAAACCCCTTCCCCCTCTTCACCCTCGGATTACCCCCTCCCCACCCCCGCTCCCTCTAGCACAGATGGGCCTAGGAGACGGTGACGTGGGCGCCAGGCACTGTGTCTGCTCAAGCGGCGGCTTCCGCTGGCGACCGCCTCCGCAGCCCCGCCTGCTCTGAACAGCAGGGACACTGACACTGAGGTTTAATGGGATGGGGGGCACGGCAACAAGGAATTCTGAGGGTGTATGACATGAGGAAGCTGAGATAAAGGGTTAAATGGGGGAAGCTAGGGGAGGGGAGGACTCCTGTTGTGGTGCAATAAGATCAGCACTGGACTATGAACCACAAGGTCAGCAGTTCAGATCTACTAACTGCTTCTTGGAAACCCTATACAGGGCGGCTAAGAATGGAAACCGACTTCATAGCACTTACCAACACTAAGGTTAGGGGAGCGAAGTGGCTCTGTAGGATAAGCACTGGTCTGTGAACCACAAGTTGGCAGCTCAAGTCCACCAGCCACTCTACGGGAGAAAGATGAGACAGACTTCTGCTCTGGCAAAGATTCACAGCCTCAGAAACCCTATACAGGGTCACCATGAGTTGAAACCAACTCAGTGGCACTTAACAGCAACATCAAGGCTAGGGGAAAGGAACCCTGGTGGAGCAATGCTTAAGATGCTAACTGAAAGGTGGGCTGTTCAAACCCACCAGAGAGGATCCACAGGAGAAAGATGTGGCAGACTGCCTCTGTAAAGATTTACAGCCTTGGAAGCCCTACATGACCATTCTATTCTGTCCTAAAGGGTGAAATTCACTCTAATGAAATGGGGTTAGGATAGGAGAGATCACCTGAGTAAAGAAAAGATTAAGAATTGTTGTTGTTGTTGTTGTTGTTGTTAAGTGCCATCAAGCTGGTTCCAACTAATAAGGAACCTGTCTAGGGTTTCCAAGTAGCAGCTGATGAGTTTGAACCACCAATCTTGTACTTTAAATCAACCTTTCAGTCCAGTGCTTATCCTGCAGTGCCACACCAGGAATCCAAGATTCAGAATAGGGCAAGACAAAAAATTATGCAGTGAGACAACAGAAAGAAGATCATAAATAAGAGTCAAGCAAAAATAATTAATTAAAGGAGAGACTCCTGGTGTAGCACTGTAGGATCAGCACTGGACTGTGAAACACAAGGTTGGCAATTCAAACCCAACTGCTGCTCCTTGGAAACCCTATACAGGGTCACTATGAGTCGGTACGACTCCACGGCACTTAAAAACAACAACAATAAAAATCCTCTGTCATATTACGTTGCTATGAGTCAGAATCTACAGGACAATACACAAGAACAACAGCATGCAGAATTCAAAGGGAAAGTACAATGAAGACTTAAAGGGAGACTGAAATAAGGATTGTGGGGGCTGCTGAGATAGGACTGCTCATGGAGTGGGGAATGAGAAGAATACAGAGAAGATGAGAAGAGGGGCTCTGCTGAGCCTGGGGAGAAGTACCCAGGTGCTGACATAGGATACTTCAGCGCTGCGGGTCTATCGAGGTCTTTTTTGTGATTCAGTTGGGTCATGTCAGGTCACTCAAGATCAAGGTAAGGTACAACTGAATCAGGTCAGATTGAGCTGTATGAAAGACAGGTAAGAAGTGACAGGTTGACCCTGGACCAGGGACTACACCTCCTAGAGTGCACTATTCACTTTCTCTCTCACCCTCCTAAGCGAAGAAAGGAAAGAATGCTCAAAGTCACGGCTAACTGGAAGGCGCAGTTTTCCTTTAAGGCTGCCTTTGACGTTGCACAGTTTCCAGAAGGTTCTCCGGGGATTCGAGCAAGGGGGCAGTACGTCCCACCTTCTCAAACTGGAGATTGGCCTGACATACTTGCCCTAAGAACGGGTCTGAGCCCCACAGACGAACCAATAAAATCAAAGGGCGCGTGGAGTTGCCGCCCTCTGTCCCTTTCACCAATAACAAGACAAGATGGTGCAGAGATGTGATTGACTGATCCCAATATGCACCAATCAGACCCACACCAATCACTGCCCGGAATGTGTACGCGTGTAGCGGGGTGACAGGGGCGGAACCTGGGTGGCTATCACCGAGGTGCTCGTTGAAAGCTATCCAATCACAGAAGGGTCTGGACTGAGTGACGGGCAGATGGTGCAATGGGGAGGCACAGAGGCGGAGCCATGGGGGCGGGTTTCCCGTCCCGCTGTCGGCGGCCGGCGGGCAGGCGACTCCTGTCCTGAGTGGAGGCGGCGGAGCCGAAGCCGGGGGAGGGGACAGCAGCTGGCTGACGGACCGCGACGGTGCCCGCAGCTCCTCTCCGGTGAGGGCGCCGAATCAGGAATCTGGGGGCCCGGGAGCGGGGACAACGCGAAGGCAGAGGTCCGGGTGTCAAGGGGTTGGGACACTTAAGGGCCCAAAGGCTCTCTGCCGTGGGGGCGCGGGGACTCGGGGTCTGCTAAGGTGCTCCATATCCACGACCTGGGCTTGGCCCCCGAAGGGGGCAGCCAGCGTCTGAGCCAAGGGAGGGACGGGTCGGGTTGGGTTCCGCGGGGCGGAGGCTTTCAGAGCTGGCCTAGCCAGCCAGCGCCAGTGACATCACCGACCACCCTCCCACGCCGAAGCCCCCTCCCATCTCCTCCTTCCCTGCTCTCCTCGCTGTGCCTTTTGTCCCGGGCAAGCTCTGCTTTCCCCCACCCCGCCCATCTGCGAGGGAGGAGACTCCGTCAGTGACTTCATTGAGTAGGTTCTTGGGATTGGGGTGGGATCCTCCCGAGAAGGGAGCTCACTGCCTCTCAGGCCCTCACAGACAATCACACCTGTCAGAGGTACACACGCTGCCACTCACAAGCACAGCCTCTCTGCCACACTGCCACACAGTCACTCCCAATCAGCCAGAGACTGCTGCACCTGAGAGCAGGTGGCCGCTGGACCCTACCCTTCACGCCACATCTGGGGATCCAGTCCGACTCCAGCTGCACCAGGAAGGCCTTGCTGAGCAAGTGCCTCTGAGAATCTGAGGAGGTGGCGTCCAGAGCTGCAGCTTTCCCAGCAGGCTCCAGTGGAGCAGCCAGAGGTGAGGGGCTTGGCTGGGCATGTTTAAGCGCACAGTGCTCTCCTGCCCACCCCCAGCAGCACCCCCACTCCAAGAGGCCCGAGGAGCTTTCCGAAGCTTCCCACACTTCTGGGGAGAAGACTTCTTAGCCAGCTTGATGTTTAAAATTCAGCTGGAGCCCCTAAAACTTCGAGCGTGGACGCTGAATGGGTTTGTAAAGTTTCGGTAAGTCCCTCTGGAGAAGGGCACTCATACCCATCTTCCCATCAGCCATCTGCCTCCATCCCATCCTCATATCATCTCCATCTCATCCCCATGACATACAAGAATACCCCTTCTACCTCACCTTCCTCCCGGGCTCAAACCCTTCAAGTATCCATTTTCCACAAGTTTCTCTTCCTGCTAGTTCAACTCTCCCTGTCTCTCCCTTTTAACCCTGTCAGAAGCCATTTTTCACTTCAGTCATTTCCTTATCATCCTCATCCCCCTCCATCAGTACCTCATTTTCTACAGCAATCATCTCCACTCCCTGTACCCTTGCTCCCAATTTTCCATTCCTGCTTCTACATTAACATCCTTTTCATTTTTCTCCATCAAAGGCAGTACCATGCCATGGGGCTCCTTTGTCATTCCAACACATGGCTTGTGGGAAAGGGGGAGGGAAAAAGGGAGGAAAAGAAGGAAGAAAGGAGGTGGTTCCTGGGAGCTTGTCCTGTGTGTGTTGAGCGGCCAGCAAGTGGATCCCAGGGAGGAAGGTGACCAGGTGAAGGGGTCATGCAGGGACAAGAGAAGGGTGAGTGGAATGGAATCCCCATTGTCTGGAAGCTGCTGTAGTTCTCTGAGGCACCCTCTTGGTGGGCTAGGCTTCCTTCCCAGTCCCTGGGGAAAGAAAGTATAGGTTCAAGCAGAGATGGCAGACCACCGCCGCCGCCGCCACTCCCCCACTCCCTCTCAGACGGCTTTTACTGCTGCTTCCGAAAATGGCTACCCTCCCCCAGATGCTCTTTCTTTTCTGCCTCCCCCAGCAAGCGTGACATACTGATGGGGGACATGGGGGAGTACCCAGCTTTATGGAGCCTTCTTGTCAGAGTGAGGTGACTTCCAAACCATGAGTCAACCCAGCCACCTGCAACAGGCCCTGTGGGAGCAGGAGCTATAGCCATTGTCCCTGCCTACCTGGAGACTTGGTGGCCTCCCCATTACCCTGCCATGAGTCAGGGCACCCCCATACACCTCACTGCTGTGAAGTAGTCAGAGGCAGAAAGACAGGCTTCAGCTGTGGCTGCCAGCCCAGGACATTGCTAGAAAGACTCTGGTTCTCCTGGCTTTGGCAGGAGTTGGCCAAATCTCCGAAGGGCTGAAGAATGGCTTCTGGCCATTCCCCCAACTAGCTGCAGCTAGACGAACGTCCCCCTCCCTTCATATCCACAATGAACACGTGGGGGAGGAGTGGGAGACTAGAAGACTTCGAGCCTGATATTTCTCCCTCACATACCAAATGCCCATGTATCTAGCCTGGAAGGAACCATCAGAGGAGTGTGGGTCTGACACTGGGCCAGATCCTGAAAAACCTGGGGCATGGGGGCCAGTGAGAGGGAAGTACTGGTAGGAATGGTAGGGAAGGTATTAAGGAAATGGTGGTCAGTGCCCAATCATCTTCTACCAGTTAGGGTTTTTAAAGACGTTACTACTGGAATGCTTTTGTTCACTAACACAGACACAGCTTCACATGCAGTTTTGTGTGTAGACATTGGAGAATGAGTACAGGGAACTGTTGCCCTGAGTAGGGGAAGGACAGTGTCACCCCCTGTTAATGAAGTTAGAAGCAGCAGTTTCCAAAGGCTGTGAGTCATCCTCTGATCTGAGTCACACGTGAGGGGTGGTGAAGCAGGGAGGCCTAGGGTCTCCAATGGCAGAAAGGGCTCCAGACACCCACAGCCTGACTCAGCCTAGCTGGCTAAGACAGCTGGCTGAATCCCTAGGTCTGTCCCTAGTCCTGAGCCACTGCCCCAGCTGCCCTCAGCCCGGGCACAATGCCTAAGGCATGGCGTAGGAGACCATGATGCTCCAGTGACCTCACCCAGTCCACTGATCTTCACCAGCTTCTGTGTGCAGGTCTGTCAGTCCATGGTTGCTGCCTCACTCAGCAGGACCTCTCAGGGTCCTTGGTCTAGCTCAAGGACCTGGGCCTCAGCCTTGACCCAGGAAGTAGGCCACAACCTCCAGCTTCCTGCTAGGAAAACCCAAGAGCTGAGGAAGAATCACATCATCCTAGAATGTCAGAGCGAGCGGAGATCATCTAGTCCAAACTTTTCATTTTACAGATGGGGAGACAGAGGCCCAGAGAACAGGCATGACCTGCTGAAGGTCACACAGTAAGCCCCTCAGGGATTATAGGATCATCAGGAGCAGGACTAAGGCAGAAGGAACAGGGGTATCAGGGATTGGCCCTGGTTTTCTTTCAGAAACAAGGAGACCAGTGCTGGTCCAGTGGCTGTGATGGGAAAAGATTATTACAAGATTCTTGGAATCCCTTCGGGGGCCAATGAAGATGAGATCAAGAAAGCCTATCGGAAGATGGCGTTGAAATATCACCCAGACAAGAACAAAGAGCCCAACGCTGAGGAGAAGTTCAAGGAGATAGCAGAGGCCTATGATGTGCTGAGTGACCCTAAGAAACGAGGCCTGTATGACCAGTATGGGGAGGAAGGTAAGAGGGCAGTGTTCCAGCCTGATGCTGGACTCCTGTCCTTGTCCGGGGCCCTGGGTGAAGCAGTTCTCATAGCAAGGAGCTGGAGGCTGAGGAGGGGATGAGGAAGGCAAATGTTCCAGGACTGACACCTGGATGAGAGAAGAGGTCACCCACTACCGAGTCTTAGCATTTCCCCCTGCCTCTCTCTGCCCCTCTTCTTTCTCAAGTTCAGGTCTTGGAGAGGCCTGAAGATTAGTTGTCAGAGCTAGAGGCCTTCCCCCTCCTTTCCTCGCAGCCTTATTAGTCCTGCCCGAAATCCCTGCTGCTTCATTGGCTGATGAGGACCGCTGGGGAGAGGGAATGTGTGGCTCCCTAAGGACAGAACATTGACATCCATCAGCATAAAAGTTTGGCCCTTAAGCAGTCTGGGAATTAACCACTGGAGCTCTGAGCTAGAGCGAGTGTTGCCCCCTTTAGGTCTGCAGAACGGAGGTGGATCTTTGCCTCCCAGAGGAAGTGGCAAGGATCCAAAGGTGGAAAGGGAACTGCTGCTGGCATCTTACCCCCTCCCTGGGGTAGTTGGTGGCCACACACAGGGCAGCAGGAAAGGTCCAAATAAAGCCTCTGAGAGGGTGGCTCCTCCCAGCACATCCCACGAGCATGATGTAGCTGCTAATTCTGGGCCTGCCCCTCAGGCCGCCTGCCACCCGCCAGCCACAGGCACCTGTCAGGCTATATTAAGAGACACTGTCACAGCTGAGGACTCTCCTTCCTGAGAAGAACTGCCCTTCCTTTCTAACAGCATCCACCTTTCTTTAACATTCTCTTCCTCCTACTCAACCGCCTCAAAGTTAAATGGGTTAATGATATGTACTGTTTCTAATACAAAGTAGGTACTCAAAAGAATGTTCTTTTCCTCCCTTTTCCCTGCTTTATGTTTCTCTGCCCCCATCCTCTGTGCACCCCAGTCCTCCCAACCTCCACTTTTATTCTCCATGCTGCTAGCTCTTTCCATTCCCCCAGCCCCCAACACACACACACTCACCTCTTAACACTTACCAACTCGCAGGTCAACTAGGAACCTACTAGAATCTCCGGGGTCCTCCCAGCTAAGAATTTTCTCTTTGGGATGGAAGGGTGAACACAGGAGAGTGTGGGAAAGAGGGAGGCAGCACAGATCCTATGCCACCATATGACCTGTCTAGGAATTGCACTTGTTTCTCCCCTGGGCCTCACCTTGGTTTAAAAGGAAGAAGGTGGGAGCTGAGAAAGCAGCTGGGACTTCACCCCTCCTGTAAGACCAGGCGTAAGTGAAGGACAAAGTGCAGGTTCTGGTGCAGACCACCATACCAAGAGGCCCCTGAGGATTCAGCACAGCCTTACAGTGGGAAACCGTCTAGAGAGGAAAAAGCAGCCTTGGAAATGTCAGTTGTATTTCTGTTCACCCTGCCCCCTCCCCGGCAGCCAGTCAGATCAGTTGTGCACACAGTCTCTGTGAGCAGTCCTGGCTGAGGACAAGTTGTTCTCAGCCTGAAAGGGGGTGGTGGTGGTAGAATAGGAATCCCCACAGAGAACAATTATCCGCTTCTGGCACTGTCAGGCCAACTGCCTTCTCTCATTGAGCTCTGCTATGCTCCCTAAACATATATGCTAATGAACCCCTTCCCAGGCTCCCCCATAGAAGAAATAGACCCTGGGTCTTAAGGAGGGCTGAGGAGGCAGCTGCCATAGGTCCTTAAACTGCCTGCCACTTGGCCTCTCTAAGAAAATTCAAATCTGCCCCATGTAGTCCTTGGAAATAAGACTAGGCTCAGGCTTCCAAGACCAACTAAGCTCTAGGTGAAAAGTCTCAAAGAGAAAAGCCCCTTCCCCTAGCCTGAGCCCCACTCTGAAACCTCCCTATTCTGAATCATTTAATACCCTCCCCCACCTCCTGATACTCTTACCACCCTGGCCAGCCTCCCTCTTACTCTCCCATGAAGGCTGCTTCCAGAAATTTGAGCCCTTTAGACAAGACCTAAGAGAACAACTGAGTTCTGGGGTCACCACCCTCAATGTGTCAGTCCAGTCACGCATTTTGGTTGCTCTGCATTAGTGTAGCATGTAAGACTTACCCCTTTATAATTCCAGGAAGCTCCCTTCCATTGTTTTCTATGTCTGTGTAATGTGTCAATGGTGCCCCCTCCCAGCCCCCCGGAGTTGTGCATCTTTGTGAGCCCTGAGTGTGGGAACAAAGCATTTGAAAACTCCTTCTAGAGAAAGCCCATCTCCATTTTTCCTGTTACTGAACTTTCCTGCTGTTTTGGGCCCTCCTGTGACACTGTACAAAATGCACTGGACTGCAAGGTTGGTTTGAACTGCAAGGTCAGCAGTTCAACCTCACCAGCTGCTCCTCTGAAACCCTATACTGGGTCGCTATGACTCAGAACCAACTTAACAGCATTTAACAACAAAAAAAAATTTCCCATTTTGGAGTCCTGGTATAGTGCTATAGGATCAGCACTGGACTGCAAACCACAAGGTCAGTTCAAACCCACCAGCTGCTCCTCAGAAATCCTATATAAGGTTGCTATGAGTCTGAACTGACTCTACGGCACTTAATAACACTTTCCCGTTTGAGCAGATATTAGGGAAAAAAGACACTGCTAGAAGCCGAATAAGCCTAGGCTTCCCTTCTGTCTGTGTCCCCACCTCATTTGGGACAGGTCACTTACTAGCCCCCCTGTGTGCTCAAATCCTATGTGGCTATCTCTTGCCCTGTGTGTTTCTAGAGATCAGCAAAGATTTGGAACCCAGGTGTGACTTGTAATGTGATCCAAGGGCCAATTTTTCAAGACTTGGTAAGAAGTCTTTGGGCCATGGCATGCAGAAAAGATTACAGGGCTAGAGGTCACATCTTCTAAGTCCTCTAGTCCTGACTTTTATACCTACTGGATAACTCAGCTTCTTTGAACCTCAAATTGTATATTACTATTAAATATATAATTAAGATTGGAAATTAATCGTGCTAGAGACTTTGCCTCCTCTATTAGCCTGACCTCTCAGAGAATTAAAGGTTGCTTCTCTAGACTCAAGGAGCCCTGGTGGCACAGTGGGTTAAACATTAGACTACTAACTGCAGGTCAGCAGTTCAAACCACTCAGCGGCTCCATGGGAGAAAGAGGAGGCTGTCTGCTATGAAGATTTACAGTCTCAGAAAGCCAAGGCACCAGTCTCCTCGGTCCTGTAGGGTTGCTATCAGTTGGAATTGACTCAATGACAGTGGGTGGGTTCTCTAGGCTCATGGACTGGGACAGAGCCAGAACAATCCATACTGCCCCTAATTTCTCCTTCCCTTTAGGCCTGAAGACTGGTGGTGGCTCATCAGGTGGCTCCAGCGGCTCCTTTCACTACACCTTTCATGGGGACCCCCATGCCACCTTTGCCTCCTTCTTTGGTGGCTCCAACCCCTTTGACATCTTCTTTGCCAGCAGCCGCTCCACTCGACCCTTCAGTGGCTTTGACCCCGATGACATGGATGTGGACGAAGATGAGGACCCATTTGGTGCCTTTGGCCGCTTTGGCTTCAATGGGCTGAGTAGGGGTCCAAGACGAGCCCCAGAACCACTCTACCCTCGGCGCAAGGTGCAGGACCCACCTGTGGTGCATGAACTGCGGGTGTCCCTGGAGGAGATCTACCACGGCTCCACCAAGCGCATGAAGATCACACGGCGGCGCCTCAACCCTGATGGGCGAACTGTGCGCACTGAGGACAAGATCCTGCATATTGTCATCAAGCGTGGCTGGAAGGAAGGCACCAAGATCACCTTCCCCAAAGAGGGCGATGCTACCCCTGACAATATCCCTGCAGACATCGTCTTCGTGCTCAAAGACAAGCCTCACGCACACTTCCGCCGAGACGGCACCAATGTGCTCTACAGTGCCCTGATCAGCCTCAAAGAGGTAGGGTAGGGTAGGGCCCATGACTGGGTGCGAATGTGGAGGGAGATGATGGGAGATAGTCCCATTCCTTCCCACCAGCTGGGTCACTCTTTTCCCTTCTTTCCCTCCTACTCCCACCTTTTCCTCACTCTACCTCATTTTTCCCCAGGCACTATGTGGCTGCACCGTGAACATTCCCACCATCGATGGCCGAGTGATCCCTTTGCCCTGCAATGATGTCATCAAACCAGGCACCGTGAAGAGACTTCGTGGGGAGGGGCTTCCTTTCCCTAAGGTGCCCACCCAGAGGGGAGACCTCATCGTTGAGTTCAAAGTTCGCTTCCCAGACAGATTAACACCACAGACCAGACAGATTCTTAAGCAGCACCTCCCCTGTTCCTAGGCTCTGCCCAGCTAGCTCAGAGTCTACCACAGCAATACCCCCAGTGCCCCCCACTCAGTGTGCACCCAGTTCAGTGTCTACAAGACACTGGCAACTTTTTCTAAATGCAAAAAAGGCCACTGATTTTCAGGAAAATGTTCCTGCCCCTGACCCCCTTAAAGCTGGGCTGCCTTGGGGGAATGGGGAGAGCTGGCCCAGTCCAAGGGTCAATTTTCATGTCACTAACTTTGAATCCAGTTCCCACTCCTGCCATTGGCTGGAGAGTGACCTGAGTGCTACTTGAAGATAGAGATCCCTTGTCCACGCCTGTAAATAGCATGTCTTCCTTCCTCTCTCAGCTTTGCTGATACCTTTCCTCTCCCTTCTCTTTGGTCTCCTTCTGTTGGGGAAGAAAGAGAATAGAAAGGATACTGCTTTACCACCTATTCCCCACCCCACCCCACTCCAACCACAGTGTCCAACACTCAGAGAGCCAAGGTTAACACACCCATGTTCATGCACATGAATCACTCACCAAGAGGTGTCTGTGCCTCTCTGGGGTTGAGATCGGAAGGGAATCACTCACCAAGAGGTGTCTGTGCCTCTCTGGGGTTGAGATCAGAAGGGAATCACTCACCTAGAGGTGTCTGTACCTCTCTGGGGTTGAGATCAGAAGGGAAGATCACAAGTCAGTACCCTGGGAACAGGGCCATTGAGCACGAGACACTTTTCATTTGGGGCAGGAAGGTGAACAAGGCCCTCAGCAGCTTTCTGACAGCTCCCCTGCCTACACACCACAGAATAGGAAGTTCTGGTCTCCTCCTACTTTTGGTGTGTACCAGGGTAGAGGGAGAGGAAGGGGGCCTGCTGTCTTAAGGCTAAGAGCAGTGTCCATCTCCCAACCTTCATCAGGGAGAGAAAGGGCTTTGGGGCAGGTGGCAGCTATTCTCCACTAAGAGATTCAGGGTCACAGGTTTCTCCCCACACCTCTGAACTCAGGGCCTAGCCACCTTCAAACTTCCAAATCCCACTTTTGTGATATGTGAAGCTACTTATTTCTTACCCATCTTGGAGGCTGTGTGAGGAATTTCCAGCCCTTTTATGCCTGTGTAGTCCCACCCCATCCCCACAGTTGTCTAAAGGTCAAATCGTGAAGGAGCTGGGAGAAAGACTGGTCCAGCCAGGTCCTAGGATGGGGTCTTAAGATTTTCTCACTTTGACAAGACCTTGAATGTTTTTATAGTAGTTTTTTTGTATTTTTTTGTAATGACAGTATTATGGAAAAAAAATAAAGTATTTTAAAAATAGGACATCTGAGTAGGAGCAATGAACTTGGTCTGGGGTGGAACTATAGTGCCATTGTCAACCTCCTTCCAGGCTCTTGGTCCCCTTTGAAAAAGCCCAAGCAGGCTTTCAGTAAGAGCTGAAGCTGGCTCCTTCCCGCCTCTAAGCCCCAACTCTGGGGATTCCCTGAACACAGCTTAGATGGAAGGCAGCATTTGGCTATTGTTAAGAGACACGACTTTGTTCCAACTCTGACAGCAACTCTGTGTAGGGTTTTCGAGGAACAGCTGGTGGGTTTGAACCACCAACTGTGGATAGCAGACCAGTGCTTATCCTACAGGGCCATTTGGCTATTAGAAAAACATAAGTATTTGGAAAGAATAAATATCCTTGCTTATGGGAAACAGAGACCATCTTCAAAGGATGTGCTAGCATGCGAACTGATTTTCTATGTTGTTGTGGTTGTTAAGTGCTATTGAGTCGGTTCCGACCCATAGCGACCCTGTACAGGGTTTCCGAGGGTGTAAATCCTTACGGGAGTAGAAAGCCTCATCTTTCTCCCACGGAGCGGCTGGTAGTTTCGAACCGCTGACCTTAAGGTTCGCAGCCCGATTCATAACCACTACGCACTGAAATTTCCCCTTGAGTGAGATTTATTCCTAAAGAAGATGGAGGAGGGCTTTCTGGCTGACAGGAATTGACAATCCCCAATGACAGGGCCTGGTGCCCTAAAGAGGGTGGCCTGAGGTACCTAGCAGGACTGACTGGGGACACAGATTGAGTAGGAGGCACTGAACACAGTTGTTGATTTTTTCAATCTCAGTTTTCCAGGGATGTCTGCTTGGTCTCTCACCCACCTGTCCCTGCTAAGATAACTGGTTGGGAACTTGTCACTTTCCTTGGATCTGGGTTGAAAAGAGACCTGTAGTCTCGAGAAGACCCATCTGAGGGCTCTGCCTAGGCCTGATGTTCCCCCTGGTGCGGACTTTCCTCTGTGTGTGAAGACCACAGTCAATGCCTAGTTACTTCTCTGGATTAATGCCCCCACTGCCATGAATACAGCTCTGTTTTCAGCTGGGCTTGAGCCCCACACACAGGATGACACTGACTTGGTTGCTTTCAGGGGACATTCTTGCTCCTTTCTCACAGGAAAGACAAAAGCTCCTCCTTTTAACCAAAGCTTGTTTTGGAGATCTTACTGACAAGATGTCTGGGAATCCCCTTAATTAGAAAGGGGGTACCTCAATTCTGCTCCCACTATTCCATTGAGTCACCTAGGATTGTCCCTCTCTAAAGTTTGGGCTAAATTTTTTTTTTTTTTTTT